AATGTTATATCTGTACTTACTTTTACAATTTGGAAAAACTCTCTAACTTGGCAAATCCTTTCCATGAATAATCTTATTGATAAAAATGTATAAATATAAACATAGTATGATAAAAATGTATACAAGTTACAATGGTCAATCTTATTGATAAAAATGTATACATTTATACATTTTTATCAATAAGATTGACCATTGTAACTTAAAAACATAGTATGAAATGATTGTTCTTATATTTATTTACTTATTTTTATATTTTGTATTGATGCAAAATAAACAATAAAAATGGAGTCTGTTAAAAGTGCTTGTAAAAATGAGAAAGAAACAGTGCATGTTCAAATATTAACAAACTGGAGCATTAGCATGAAACATCATACACTCTCTTCCAGCAAAATAATATTTAATTGAAACAACAACAAAAAGAATATTTTCAATCAATCATTACATTAATGATATTCTAAATTTAGAATGTTTTTAAAGGCATTTTCCATTAATCTCATTGTATTTGAATGCTTAACCAGTATATCAGAAAATGTACTTCTTTATATACACAGAATTATTATTATACACTAAAAATTAAACTTGTAAAATTTATAACAAAAGATAAATGCGATCTCACACTAAATACGTACTGCAATAAGATATGTATATAAAGGATCATCTCACACTGAACTATATACCATATTTACTCGCATATAAGACGAGGTTTTTATTCATTTTTTACTGCTTCAAAACTTAAGTTGTCCTATACATGTGAACAAAGGATTTTTGCATTTTTCAATCATTTTTGTGAGTGTGTATTTGCATTTTTTATCGGATGCTCTCCCTCTGGTGTTTAGAAACAAAAGTATTTTATTTTATCATTTCAATCTTGCTTGTGTATTGTCAGGAGTACAGATGAATAGTAATAAGAAAAGCAAAGGTTTTGAATTGAACTCCAAATTGAAATTCCAAAATCACATATAAGTTTTAATCCATTCCCATGTAAAAACAGATGATTATTCGGAAATCAGAATTCAGAGAAATTCATAAGTGTAATCAATGGAGAGTGAATTTGACTGTTAAGAATTAGCAAAGTTAGCAAAGAATTAGCAAAGAATTAGCAAATTAGTTAAGGTTCCCGATTGTCAAGCTTTACATAAACAAATTATGTTGTCGATTTTACAAGATTTTTCCTTAAAGTTTAAAGTTAAAAGCAAAACAACTCAAGGATGACATCATCAGAAGCTAGTATATGTCAACTTTCTGACTTGAGAGAGTGTCAACATACACTTTCTCAGAGTCAGTGATGATACATTTCCTGCAACTTTTAGTCACCTCTAAGATATTTGCTACTTTGAATATGAAGAAGAATGGCTGATTCCAGTCAGTCATTGCCTGTTCTTCCAACTGTTCAGTTTACTGTGTCTGTGTGCCTTTCTGGATTAGTGCTCTTCTATGCCCGCCGATTCTTCATTCCTCTACTTGCTGCTTCTCTCATGAACTGTTAACTGAAGGACTACATTCCAAAGATCCTTAACAGGGATTCTAGTTGCAGATTCTGAGGTATCAAAAATTTGTAATCTCTCTCTCTCTCTCTGCAAAATTTAAATACCCTGTGTTGTACCAACTTTCATGCCATCTAATAAACGTTTAAGAGTAGTAAATTGTGTCGAGTGACTCCTTTCCAACCGAATCTTGTCATTTCCTACTCCAGCCTCTTACTCCTAGTCTCATATGCTAGACTGTGTTTTTGCCATCCAGAAAAACACTCAAAACTCATGTAGTAGGCATAACCTACCTAGTGTCAGAATTAACACACTATCATCACAAAGAAACATACAGTGGTGTCAGAAGGAAAGACTAGTAGAATCTATCAGTGGTGCCAGGATGTCACCTGGCAACCCTTACATTGGTGTTTCTACCTTCTCATTTTTTAATATAATATAGAGTAGTGATCTACAAAATGGTGCTAATTTGATCTAGCTTATGCTGAAACTGGACCAAATTAAATTGCCATAAAATTTTGTTCACATCTGACCTAGATTTCCAAAATATCAAAATGTCATCAGTGTTTATCAGATATATAGAATATCAAATAGAAATTCTTGTAGCATTTTGTTTTCCAGCAAGTAAAATATCAGTTCACATAAGTCTTCTGATGGGGGCTATCCATTGGAACACCAAGTATTTGCAAGTCAGTCTGAATACTAAAATTAAAAAATGAGGTTTAGCAAAGAAAGTGTATTACAGTAATCCATCTTCAGATATTAATCTGATGATGGTGTGTGTAAATGTCACAGTTAAATAAAGCATTTTTTAGGATACAAAACCAAGTCTCTAACATAATGGTTTGAAACACTGAGAAGAAATTGAGCACAATGATGTGTNATACATTTCCTGCAACTTTTAGTCACCTCTAAGATATTTGCTACTTTGAATATGAAGAAGAATGGCTGATTCCAGTCAGTCATTGCCTGTTCTTCCAACTGTTCAGTTTACTGTGTCTGTGTGCCTTTCTGGATTAGTGCTCTTCTATGCCCGCCGATTCTTCATTCCTCTACTTGCTGCTTCTCTCATGAACTGTTAACTGAAGGACTACATTCCAAAGATCCTTAACAGGGATTCTAGTTGCAGATTCTGAGGTATCAAAAATTTGTAATCTCTCTCTCTCTCTCTGCAAAATTTAAATACCCTGTGTTGTACCAACTTTCATGCCATCTAATAAACGTTTAAGAGTAGTAAATTGTGTCGAGTGACTCCTTTCCAACCGAATCTTGTCATTTCCTACTCCAGCCTCTTACTCCTAGTCTCATATGCTAGACTGTGTTTTTGCCATCCAGAAAAACACTCAAAACTCATGTAGTAGGCATAACCTACCTAGTGTCAGAATTAACACACTATCATCACAAAGAAACATACAGTGGTGTCAGAAGGAAAGACTAGTAGAATCTATCAGTGGTGCCAGGATGTCACCTGGCAACCCTTACATTGGTGTTTCTACCTTCTCATTTTTTAATATAATATAGAGTAGTGATCTACAAAATGGTGCTAATTTGATCTAGCTTATGCTGAAACTGGACCAAATTAAATTGCCATAAAATTTTGTTCACATCTGACCTAGATTTCCAAAATATCAAAATGTCATCAGTGTTTATCAGATATATAGAATATCAAATAGAAATTCTTGTAGCATTTTGTTTTCCAGCAAGTAAAATATCAGTTCACATAAGTCTTCTGATGGGGGCTATCCATTGGAACACCAAGTATTTGCAAGTCAGTCTGAATACTAAAATTAAAAAATGAGGTTTAGCAAAGAAAGTGTATTACAGTAATCCATCTTCAGATATTAATCTGATGATGGTGTGTGTAAATGTCACAGTTAAATAAAGCATTTTTTAGGATACAAAACCAAGACTCTAACATAATGGTTTGAAACACTGAGAAGAAATTGAGCACAATGATGTGTTCATTTCCTGTTAGTGTAATCTTTTTTTAATTTAGCTAACAACTGAAATGAATCTTGGATGATGTACTCATAGCCATCAGTTCAATTGTTCACAAGACAAGATCACCAACAATAGCCTGGAGATGTATACATAACCTGTTTGTCAACTACCTTAAAGGCTGTGATTACATCATCTAAGATTTGTTAATATGGTTATTTTAAATGATTTTAACTGCAGTTATCAAATTACTTTAAATGAAATTTCAAATAAAAAATAAAACAATTGAAACTATTAAAAAGAAAAATTGATGAAAGTTCTTCACTTAAACAAGTGATAATACCAAGTAGCTAAAATAAACAGACCTTGATATTACATTTACATGTTTACTGTAATAGTAACATCGTAGTTTGCATTGCATTTACTATTTTTATTATAGCATTCGAAAAGAAATGCTCCATTATCTATTTGCATCAACAATTGGTCAATGGAGTACTTACTTTCAAATCTTCTGGTTGCAATCAGAGAATACAGTATCTTGTTTTTTTATATTCAGATAGAGTGAAACCTGCCGAGATTATTCACACAATAAAGCAGCAGTATGACAAGATTTGTTTGAGTCTTAGCAATATTTACAAGTAGAGTAAATAATTTAAAGAATGGCATACATCTATTTATGATTCCAAATGTTCAGGTAGACTTTGACTTCAAAGACTGATGTCAATGTTCAGTTAAATAAAAACATGAATTATCATGTCTAAATTGATGAAACTGTAAATACAATGAATATGTGCCATGGTTCAATTTTCTCAATCTTCTAAGAATTGTTAAATTCAAAAAGTTTGTGTAAGTTGGATTTCACAGGAGTTGATGGAAAGTAAAAACAAAATATGTGTTTTGGGGGTTATTGGAACCATTTGCCTTACAATCTTGATCTAACAAAATAATATTCATCTTTTTTAGGCCATTTAAAGCAATTTCAGCACAGTGTTGCATCAAAAGTTTTCATAAAATAATTCAAGAGTGGCTGCATACAAAAATCAAAAGTTTCTTTCTTTCTGTACAAAATACAGAAGCTTGTAAATTAATGTATTAAGACCACTGAAATCAGATGGTTTTGATTATACAGAAAAGTCACCAAACAATCTTGTAAGTTTCAAAAATATTTTCTTTTTACTAAGTATACTTTTACTTTTTGACTTTTCCTAATATATTTGAATATTTAATTCATAAAACAAAACTTTATTTTTCAGTTTTTTCTTTTCTACATTTTGTCTTATTCATTTTGCATTTTAGAGCTTAAATTTTAAAGCTGTACTATTACAAGAATAAAGAATTATATAAATTTTTGTAATTTTATTTTAACTATATCAAAGAATTACTTTCTTTTGGCTTAATTTATAAAAATAATGTTATTTCAATCAATATCTTAAAATTTGATATAATAATTTCATTTGTGTGTCAATGAGATTATTATTTCAAATTTTAAGATAATATATTAAATTTGTAGAAGAAAGTAAGAAATTTTATGATAGAGTAAAGAAAAGACATAATACACAACAGACAAGGCTCACACACCTGAGGAGGACCCAGTGTCAGCCCCTCGAACAGCTGCAGCATAGCTTGTAGCCCCTGCAGCCAAAAAATAAAAAAAAAATTAGTCCGATACTTACTTTAATATTTCTTTGATTATGTTTATTATGTAAAATTATAAAATCTCTATAATTTACATAATATTTATTTATTTAAAAACCTCCTCTTAGGTTACCAGCCTTTCAAGGAACAACAGACAACAGATTAGAAGAAAACAAGATTATTTCCAGCAGCATCACTAGGTTTGGTCACCCTTGTGGATCTCTTTACATAACAGACCATACAGAATTCTTAGCAATGAATTTTGTCTATATACTTATGTTCTTCATAAATTGTAATTTCTTTACATTACTTAATGTAGTGACAATAACAAACATATAGCAAAATTAAAATGCCATCTTTAAGTTACAATATCATATGAACACACTACATGTATTTACATTTATTTATTTATTTATTTTTATAATTGTACTATATTTGTAAAATAGAAAATATTTTGTATTTTTCATTGAATTTGTTAATAATGACAGCTCTGACCAGAACATATTAGTATGTACAAAAAGTAAATTAGTGTAGATTTTAGCATTTTAAATGCGTGGATACATGTAAGTTGGGCTTACAAAAAATGCTTTTGCTGTCATAATCAGTTACCAAGGTTATTAAAAAAATAATAATAATAATAAATTTTAGCTAAAACACTGCAGAAAAATTTTATACTCATTTTGGTGTCACCTGGAGTGGTCCACATCCCTTCCACATCCTCCTAGTGATGCCACTGTCTATTTCTATTATTTTGTTAATTTAAGAAATATCTGTTTGTAATATTCCTTTATAAACAATCTTATATTATAAAATTTTATTACCCTATAAATATGCTTTCTAATTTAAAAATAGAAAAATTATATAGAGCTATAGAAAAATTTAATTAAATGATGATTATGATTAGAAAGAAATCTGTAAATATAAATTATGCAAATCTAATGGCATGTTTTTGTTAAATTATCATCACTACAGTGTTAATTTATTATTAATTTAATATAAGTTTAAACTAAACAAATCTAAGTAACAAAAATTGTCTTAACAATTGTCTTTAGGAAAACTATCGTGCTAGCCTGAATATAGCCACACTGTTCTCTAAATTTCTATATTATTAAAATATAATCGTTACATTTACTAAATCATTTATATTAAGACAATATGCATCATAATAAAATATGAATGCAAAATAATGCACTTGCTTTCAATAAAATCTAATTAGTATTCAGATGGCAGATCAAGGGTAATTGTAAAAGTGTATGCTATCATAAATAACCAAGAGTATAAACAGGAAGAAAGCAAATACATAAAAAGACTAAAGACATAAGTATAAAAAAACAATAGCTACAAGAATGCAAAAGACTACATTCATCAAAAAGCATTGTCATATTTTGCCCACAAAAATAATACATGGACAAAGAAATTCAATGAACAGAAGAGTACATAACATTAGACTGTACATGATAAAACTGTGGATGCAGACAGAAGTGTGTTCAATAGCTCACTTTGTAATATAATATATTGATTCTTTAAATGTCTTTTAGAAAATTTATAAAGAAAATAAAAAAACCAACATACTAAAAGCTATGAGTACATTATTATTACGAATATTACAAAAAAATGTTGCATGGTATACAAACATATCCCACTAAAACAATGCTAATGATCTCTCAAAGACAGTACAAAAAACATGGAGATTTTAGTAAAGCAAAGTTACTACTACGATTATATAGATTCAGTTTGCCTATCACATCTGCTTTCATGCAAATGCATTTTAAAGATGATTGGAATATGCATGTATACCACATAAGCAATGGAGTGTTAAATGTAATAGTCATAAATTTAAACAAGTTAGAAAAGTTTCCATTAACAGTTTTATGAATGAATGCAGAAGGCACACAACTTCTTGAGGATATCATTTTAAACAAATAAAAAGTATATTGTATATATCATATATACTGAAAGAATACAAGGTGAGATCCAAAAAATAAAAAGTCCTTTTTGTTCTTTTTCTTTAAAAGTTTCTATAAAAGTTTTCTTTAATATCATATATGTAGGTGCTCCTCTACTTACAAACTTTCAGACTTGCAAACAATTTCACATAATGTCTAAAATTTAAATGTAAAGTGAATTCTGAAGTATTCTTGTTACTCATGGGGTGGCATAGAAGTCAGTCTTTGGCCAGTAATAAATAATTAATATGAATTTATTTTTATTGTGTATCAGCATTTTTCATTTTTGTGCAAATTTTGAGGTTCCATCAAAATTGATAATAATAGAATAATGGCATTTTTCACTATTGTTTGTAATTTTTATAAAATTTTATGATTAGTGCTTCAAAAAATGCTGATCTTTTACCATGGAAACGAAATAATGCACTTAATTTTACAATGCCCTAAGTGGAAAAAGCCATGTTTGAAACACCTGCTAGTAAGCAGTAGCAAGAGGGTAAATGAGCAAAACTTATTCTATTAAGTACATTGAAGAATCAAACACTAAAAATATGTGGTTTTTCTGTGTACTTTTTAAGTTAGTTTTTGACTTGCAAACATTTTGACTTATGACAAAACCTTGGGAATCTAGCCTGTTTGTGAGTAGAAGAGCACCTGGCACCTGTAGTCTCAAAACTTAACAATTAAACCTTATATTAACTAACATGGGAATATCCATGCTTTGACATCTTAGATTTTGTTGAAATTTTAATAGTTTAGTACACTCCTCCCACTAATGTGTGGTAACAAAATTCATGCAAATGAACAATAGTTTACAAGAAATCAGTTTAAATTTTTCCACATGTACACAATGTACTAAGCAAGTAAGGCATCAGATTGAAAAAGTTTGGCATTATGGCATTTATCCAGTAAATTATTAGGAAATGTATTTGGTCCAAATATACTATTTTGTAATTATTAAATTCATTTGCATATTTTAAAACCAAGAACTGTAGAAAAAGTATTGATTCACCATTTAATGAAAAACTAAAAATTATTTTAAAACTCTGCAAGGGATTTCATTTCTACATTATGTTATATTACCAGTCAATGCATTCCAGCATTTTTGAAATTTATCTTGTTTGTGAACTGCATGAAAGTTGGAACTGTTAATTACTAATTTTGTATAATACACAAATAAATTTGATTTATAATTTTATAATAATATTTGATGTTTTCACTAAATAGTGTTTTTCTACAGTTGTTGGTTTTAAAATATGCAACTGATTTTGATAATTATAAAACAGTATATTTGGGCCAAATATATTTTTAAATAATTCACTGTATTACATACTTCAGAGAAAAAGTGTGGAAAGAAAAGTTGGATAAAACAGGATCAAACTACAATATCAAGATTTTTAATCTGGTACCTTACTCATTTGATAAACCTATTCGTCAAGATTCATTTATAGATCTCAGTATGTAATACATATGAAAAGTTTAAATAAGAATTTCTTGTAAACTATTGCTTATTGGCACAAGTTATATTACCATACATTAGTGGGAGAAGAGTACTAAAATGAATTAAAATTTCAGCAAAATCCAGCTTCAATGACTCCTTGTATTACAAAAATAAAAGTAAGATAAATTATATTGGATATTTCAAAGACAAATTAGTAATATAATGTTATCAAAGAATTATAGAAAAAACAACAAACAAATATTAAAGATTAATATTNATAATAATATTTGATGTTTTCACTAAATAGTGTTTTTCTACAGTTGTTGGTTTTAAAATATGCAACTGATTTTGATAATTATAAAACAGTATATTTGGGCCAAATATATTTTTAAATAATTCACTGTATTACATACTTCAGAGAAAAAGTGTGGAAAGAAAAGTTGGATAAAACAGGATCAAACTACAATATCAAGATTTTTAATCTGGTACCTTACTCATTTGATAAACCTATTCGTCAAGATTCATTTATAGATCTCAGTATGTAATACATATGAAAAGTTTAAATAAGAATTTCTTGTAAACTATTGCTTATTGGCACAAGTTATATTACCATACATTAGTGGGAGAAGAGTACTAAAATGAATTAAAATTTCAGCAAAATCCAGCTTCAATGACTCCTTGTATTACAAAAATAAAAGTAAGATAAATTATATTGGATATTTCAAAGACAAATTAGTAATATAATGTTATCAAAGAATTATAGAAAAAACAACAAACAAATATTAAAGATTAATATTTGAATAATTATAAATTCTAAGTAATTCCTTCAACCATTTCAAATCACCCTAATTAGTAGTAAAAACTCACTGTGTTTGGCGTTATTGCTCGTTTTTTCCCATTTATTCAAGCGCTTTCGACGAATATATATTTCCGTCGTCTTCAGGTAAATATGTTTTAACCGAAGATGGACGTTCGATAAAAGAACACATAAATTTAAAATTAAATAATTTTTCATATGATTCTGCAACGGTTTGAATTACGTGCGATGTTACGAATACGATGTAATACAGCGCATGCGTGTACTGCTTCCTGTCAGTGACGTGATATATGATGTAACTCGCCGTTTAATCGCTTGTATAGAGCGATCCATATATTTGGCAGCTCCAGAGTAGGTGTGTTGCACGAATCAAATGTTGTTATATATAATGACTCCCATATATAGAGTAGTCTTTGGTTGTTGCATGCCCTGAGTATGGTGGAGTGGGCCCATAATGGGTTATAATTCATGTCGCACACTCTTCTTGCGAGCTCAGTGTTGCACCTTCTTTTTGCTATATCATCTTGGTGTTCGGTCAGGCGGGTAGCCAACATTCTTGCTGTGGCCCCAATATATCTCGTGTTATTCCCCGTTACGGGATTTTCTAACGGAACCGCATAAATTCCTGACTTCTCAAGGGTGGAAAGCTTGTCTCGGTCATTGCAGAGCAATCTGCGCAAATTAGGTAACGGAGACAGGGGCAGGAGCAGACCATGTTGTTTAAATATGCGGCAAATGCGTAGAGAAAGTGGACCGAGGTATGGTAAGGCCAAACACAGTGAGTTGTTACTACTAATTATTGTTACTTGGCGTGAATAGCATACTAGTCTATATCAAATCACCCTTTCCATCAAATAAATAATTGTCAGAGAAGTAAAAATAAAACACCAAATTTTCAAATCAGAATAATTATTACTCAAAATTAGTGACATATTTGAGAAGCAAAAATTATTTAAACCCTTTCTAAGTAATTTAACTTTTTAATTTTGCAATCACTTTATTTGTTGAAATTTTTATATAAAAATTAATGAAAAAAATGCAAAATATTTATAAACTCCATTAGTCTGCTTGAAGGCAAAATGATAAATTTTAATATTAAAACTGAAATATACAGTACATACACATAGAAAGATACAGTGAATAACAAGAGATATAGTTCCTATACTTTGAATTAAAAAAACTTAATATGGTAAATTAATAAAAATTAATAGCTTTATTTGTTTCTACAACAGAGAAAGGGCAGAGTTTACTCACTGATGTAATTTATACGTAACATAATGCAGGAATCAGTCTATGAAATATTTTCAGTACAATACAAAAACAGTAATTTAACAATCGGAATAAGAAAAGATGAACTAGTTATTTCATTTATACTTGCATAAATATAGATAAGAACAGTTAGACTATGATTTAGAATTTCCATTCATAGTCATTATTGATGAAAAACTGAAATATAATCCCAATCAGTAACAAAAGGATTATTATAAATAAACTTCAAGTCATATGCAAACTCTATGAAATCATTCACAATTTTTTCATAAAATCACTCACAAAAGTTTAATTTTTATAATGCTTGAACAAACTGAATTCTAAAGTAATTCAAAAAACACATCATAAAAATTATTAATAAATAGATGTAATTAGTAAATTAACTACTAATCAGAATTTGGTGCTATTTAATCTAATCTTACACAGTGGAGTAATTGCATGAATTATACATGTTTAAGAATGGGATTTATATTTTAAACAGGAATTAATTTAATATATTATATTAAAAAGCATTCTCAAGTAAAATAAAATGAAAATATAACTCATACCTATATAAAGTCTACTCTATACAAGTATATTAAAATATCTTAAAATTGATCTGATCAGCACAAATATAAAAATTAACTGTCAAAATTTTAAATCATTATAGCAAAACTGACATATAACTAAAATAGTTTATCACTATGCAGAAATTATTAAATTTATATATTTAGATACAAAGCTAACTATTGTAAGATATCTACAAAATATTAAAACAAGCAGTCAAAATCAAGTGACAGATTTTATTTCTAACAGCTATTCTAGTAATTATCCAATCGAAAATAGTCAATAATTACATTTTGAAATGATGAAAACAATTCATATAGTTCTGACCTGAATTTCTGGGCTATCATATTTCAATTATATTTTAAGAAGCCAGTGACTTCAGATATCAAATAATAAATGAAAAGATGAGTATGTGGCTTATTAAAATGGAAATAAAAAAGTTCTCAGATTGGATATCATTACATTAAATGTATTTAAAAATCAACACTGCTATATAAAAAATATTAATTATTTTGTGTTAGTTTAAAAGAGCATACTGTGAATATTTCTGCACATGCTGTAAATTTATTCCTACATATATCAAATTAAAATAATTGAAATTTACAAACTTCAAACTAAAAGATAATTATTGATATAAAATTTTAATTAAATCCTACCAGAATAAGTAGGGTTTTCAATTGTTTTTCCAGGTGAACCAAGATCGCCTCCAGATGAAACAGGTGAAATAGATGTAGCTGCAGTAACAGGTACAACTTTATCATCTTCACATCCGTCAACTCTAAAACAGAAAAATAATACATATATATTGTATATATGTGATATAGTTTCCCATCTGTTTAATATCAACACACGAGAATTATCTAAATACAGTAGAGCATCGTTTATCTGAAAGAATTCCAGTTGGCAAATTTAAATTTTTGCTAGTGCTTTGGCGCTGCAATCTTTGGCTATGTCTTGGGCTACTCGAATACTTTTTATGTTTGTGTATGTGTTTTAGCTGGCAGCACTGGCACTTTTGCGTGGTGTTTTTCTGAGGACTGTGTCATGCTGAATTGAACATTTTTGATACTAGATTAACNGGGATTTTCTAACGGAACCGCATAAATTCCTGACTTCTCAAGGGTGGAAAGCTTGTCTCGGTCATTGCAGAGCAATCTGCGCAAATTAGGTAACGGAGACAGGGGCAGGAGCAGACCATGTTGTTTAAATATGCGGCAAATGCGTAGAGAAAGTGGACCGAGGTATGGTAAGGCCAAACACAGTGAGTTGTTACTACTAATTATTGTTACTTGGCGTGAATAGCATACTAGTCTATATCAAATCACCCTTTCCATCAAATAAATAATTGTCAGAGAAGTAAAAATAAAACACCAAATTTTCAAATCAGAATAATTATTACTCAAAATTAGTGACATATTTGAGAAGCAAAAATTATTTAAACCCTTTCTAAGTAATTTAACTTTTTAATTTTGCAATCACTTTATTTGTTGAAATTTTTATATAAAAATTAATGAAAAAAATGCAAAATATTTATAAACTCCATTAGTCTGCTTGAAGGCAAAATGATAAATTTTAATATTAAAACTGAAATATACAGTACATACACATAGAAAGATACAGTGAATAACAAGAGATATAGTTCCTATACTTTGAATTAAAAAAACTTAATATGGTAAATTAATAAAAATTAATAGCTTTATTTGTTTCTACAACAGAGAAAGGGCAGAGTTTACTCACTGATGTAATTTATACGTAACATAATGCAGGAATCAGTCTATGAAATATTTTCAGTACAATACAAAAACAGTAATTTAACAATCGGAATAAGAAAAGATGAACTAGTTATTTCATTTATACTTGCATAAATATAGATAAGAACAGTTAGACTATGATTTAGAATTTCCATTCATAGTCATTATTGATGAAAAACTGAAATATAATCCCAATCAGTAACAAAAGGATTATTATAAATAAACTTCAAGTCATATGCAAACTCTATGAAATCATTCACAATTTTTTCATAAAATCACTCACAAAAGTTTAATTTTTATAATGCTTGAACAAACTGAATTCTAAAGTAATTCAAAAAACACATCATAAAAATTATTAATAAATAGATGTAATTAGTAAATTAACTACTAATCAGAATTTGGTGCTATTTAATCTAATCTTACACAGTGGAGTAATTGCATGAATTATACATGTTTAAGAATGGGATTTATATTTTAAACAGGAATTAATTTAATATATTATATTAAAAAGCATTCTCAAGTAAAATAAAATGAAAATATAACTCATAATAATATTTGATGTTTTCACTAAATAGTGTTTTGATCAGCACAAATATAAAAATTAACTGTCAAAATTTTAAATCATTATAGCAAAACTGACATATAACTAAAATAGTTTATCACTATGCAGAAATTATTAAATTTATATATTTAGATACAAAGCTAACTATTGTAAGATATCTACAAAATATTAAAACAAGCAGTCAAAATCAAGTGACAGATTTTATTTCTAACAGCTATTCTAGTAATTATCCAATCGAAAATAGTCAATAATTACATTTTGAAATGATGAAAACAATTCATATAGTTCTGACCTGAATTTCTGGGCTATCATATTTCAATTATATTTTAAGAAGCCAGTGACTTCAGATATCAAATAATAAATGAAAAGATGAGTATGTGGCTTATTAAAATGGAAATAAAAAAGTTCTCAGATTGGATATCATTACATTAAATGTATTTAAAAATCAACACTGCTATATAAAAAATATTAATTATTTTGTGTTAGTTTAAAAGAGCATACTGTGAATATTTCTGCACATGCTGTAAATTTATTCCTACATATATCAAATTAAAATAATTGAAATTTACAAACTTCAAACTAAAAGATAATTATTGATATAAAATTTTAATTAAATCCTACCAGAATAAGTAGGGTTTTCAATTGTTTTTCCAGGTGAACCAAGATCGCCTCCAGATGAAACAGGTGAAATAGATGTAGCTGCAGTAACAGGTACAACTTTATCATCTTCACATCCGTCAACTCTAAAACAGAAAAATAATACATATATATTGTATATATGTGATATAGTTTCCCATCTGTTTAATATCAACACACGAGAATTATCTAAATACAGTAGAGCATCGTTTATCTGAAAGAATTCCAGTTGGCAAATTTAAATTTTTGCTAGTGCTTTGGCGCTGCAATCTTTGGCTATGTCTTGGGCTACTCGAATACTTTTTATGTTTGTGTATGTGTTTTAGCTGGCAGCACTGGCACTTTTGCGTGGTGTTTTTCTGAGGACTGTGTCATGCTGAATTGAACATTTTTGATACTAGATTAACTTCTAAAGTATAATTTTTTTTTGTTTTTATATTTTTCAATATATTTATTTTGTTTGTAAAAAATAAAGAAATAATTTTTAACAATACAACAGCCACGATTATTATTTTAAAAAGTTTACATTAGGCATAACATTGACGAAAATTAAATGCAAAGCGACACACAACGGAGAAAAATTTCAACATGGGATAGGTTAATATATTTTTTCGTACATAATAAGTTATCTGAAAAATAAGTTATCTGAACAACCTCAGTCCCCAATTGATTCGGATAAACGACGCACTACTGTAGTTTTATATTTTTGTAAAATCACTAATTTTATATTTAAAATATATATTGTTTTTATGATAAATATATATATATTTATTTGATAAATGATGTATATATATATTTATATGTATCATTTATCATAAAAAGCAATCATCTGGATAAACATAGCTACATTATGACAACCATTTCTGACTTCATTTTGTAGACTTCCAGAAGGATGACATAGCAGCCTCTGAAAGAGGCAATACATTTAGAAAGTTTTTAAAAAATTGTACACACAACTATTATGAAAGCTTGATTTTATAACTGCCTTTTGTTGTTTGTGAATTTTTTTCTCAAGAAATTTTATATTAAGAACAAATACCCTTGATTTAGTAAGTAGATCTGATTCTTTATTACTGTTAATATTTACGCAAGTACACTATTTTTGCATCCTGGAGACATGGTCATCAAAGGAAAAGTACATTCAAAATGATAGTAGAAATTCTATTCCTGCTTAAATTTTGTTGAAATTTCTTTTGATTGAAATCAATTAATAAATATATTAAATTTTAATTAATTTATTAAAAATGTACTTTAAATATGTAATAAAAACAAACACTGCTCTGAAATTATTACTTTACTTTTCTGCTTTTAGGATAATGTGCAATAATCAGAGAAATGTTGAATCACAATTCATACTTCTATTACTCAAAAGAAATTACGATGTTCTCAATTCCCAATGTCATTAGGGTTATGAACAGCAGAGTGTACTGTACCTATGTTAGAGTGAAAATGGGCCTGTTCACTGACTGTATATTGATACATTTTAATTAATAATTGAGCAGAAGTGTCATTTTAGTATTTTTAAATCATACCATTAGAATCCTAGTAAAAAGTTATGTCTATTAGAGACATTTTCAGCACTGTGGACACTTCCCCCTTTAATTTCAATAGCAGACAAACAGATCAGTGAACATTCAAAAATATAAAATCAAACACAAGATACTTTGAACATCTTTTGATTATTAGCAGCAATTTATTTTAAAGACAAAAATACAAAACAAAAATAGGCATGATTACAAAAATTATTCTATATTAAACTATAGCATCAATAAATGTAATGAACTCAATAAAAGTGCAAATATTTATATGTTATTAAAGAAATTATAGGTGTTAAAAATAACTTTGGACAACTTCAAATTGACAGAAAATACTTTGGAACATCTAAAAATGAAATATTTCTATTTATTTAATATTATTGAATATAGAGGAAAAGTCCTTACATCAAATAGCTATAAAGCTAAAAATTGATAAATCAACAGTTTTTGATATAAGAAGTAAAAGGAAACTGATAGCATTGTTCTAGGACAAACAAAAATTGTAGCAGCTTCTGACCAAGTTCTTGTCCAAAATTATCAAAGAAAACTGGCAAGCACCACTTACAGAATTGGTTATTGAGCAACCACTAATACACAAACTACTAAAGAGACTTGTCAGATGTATTTGCAGAAACTTGACTACAGATTTTATCAGGTAAAATAACAGTACAATATGTCAGCATGAGAATGTAATGGTTATGTGAACAGAGGGTTAGCACCTCTTTGATGCCCTGTCAGGAATGACACCACAGTGTCCCAATTGACACAGAAGCCACAACAGCAAATCGGTTTATATTAGGAAGTAGGTCATGCGAGTGGTTGCATGAATGAGTAATCTGATTCCGGATAGAGGACAGTGAGACAGTGTTATGGAAGTACTGTACTCACTCTAGTGTTAATAACAAATACCAGTTTAATAATTGCAAAAAAATAAAAAAAAAAGAGGTTACAGAATATATATTTCATAATATTAGATTAACTGACCTATTTAACAGAGTGATCACGAGAGAGAGTTTACATTTGATTGTGTGTAGAGATAAATACCTGATGGATTTTCCAGTTGTCACATTCCAACTACAAAAATTTGTTTTCAGTAGTAGGGTTGTTATGTGGACCGTTTGATGATCAGAACAGTTTGGAAATAGATGGAACAGTTTTGTGATGGAGATTCAGCAATATCCGTTAGTGGGATAGGTGATATCCGTTGCTGGATAAGTCTTTGTACAGAAAATGGGCAAGGTATCAGTTAAGGTAATATAGGAGGTTCTGAACTGACTAACACCTTAGAGGCACTGGTGACGACTATCCTTAGGGATTGGCTGGCAACTGACACTCATCTTGGGAAGAACTAAGCAGCGACTGACTCCTCAGCTGTCAGTTATGCTATTAGCACAATATTGCCTGGCCAAGAGGTCTGCAGGTTATGGGAATGTGTCATTTTTGCCGTCAAGAAAGTGTAAGTGGAGATTCTCTCAGGTAGTAGATGACAACAATTATTGAATAAGTATGATTTTTGTTAAAGTTTGGATCTCACAGTTATGTTACTAATGGTTCAACACATGATTTTCTTTTCAAGCTGTTAACTAAGCCTAAAAATATTGACTAAAAAGAGAAAAGGAAAATTGCATGCAGCAATAGTGAAACAACATTGTTTTCAGTAATAAAGCAAAGTTTTAGATTTGCATCAGAAGCAACAAAAATAAGTGATTCAAAGAAAGCACAAATTCTTTCATCCTGAGCATTCTAATCATACAATGAAATTCTCAGAAAGTATTATGGTATTACAACATTGCATGACTGCTCAAGATTTTGGCACTCTTCATTTTATAAATGGAACAGCAAATTCAGAAAATTATCAGCAGATCCTACAAGAAAACTCTTCCATACTTTTTTTTTTATTCTTCCATACTTGGAAAAACTGCAAAACACAAATATAATTCCCCAACAGGACAATGCAAGTTGCCAAACTACCAAAGCAACGAGGGCATGGTTCGCAAATCATAATAAGTGTTGAGTTGGCCATCTAGCAGTCTAGATCTTTTTCCCATTGGAAATGTATGGAAAAAGATCTCAACAGACAGTGGCTGACTTATATAAAAAATCCAGGACATCTGTGATGGAATTATTGAAAATGAATGTCAGGATCTTAATAATACAATGTGTGAAGATGTAAATGTAGTAATACAGGCAAAAGATGATATAACCAGATAATAATCAGCAGTATTCAAAGTATTTTCTATTAATGCTAGAAGTGCTCAAAGTTTTTTTGTCACTTGTGAATTCTTCAAATATTCATTTCTTTAATATTAATGCAAGCATTTGTATTTTTATTGTTATTTATGTTAACAAAGATCATGGTTTAATGCACAACTTTTGTAAACAAATTTGTGACAATGCTGAAGGACCTCCCTATACTTCGGCACCACGTGACTGAAGGGTCAACATCGCGTCGGCGAAGATCGCAATGACAGGTTTCGTCAGGACTGACACCACTGTGTCTTCACGGCTAGACACAGAAACCGTTTCGTTCGGGCGTGTGAGCGGTCGCGTGTGTGAGTGAATGGAGCAATCAGAGTCAGGATGGAAGGAGAGACAGTGCACCGGAAGTGACTTACTCAGAGACGCTTTAACGTAACAACTGTTTAATGATTAACAATAGGCTATACATTAGAGCTGCTGTTAGATACATTTATACGGTTTGTCATTATTCGATATTACGATATTACGGTTTTTCCCGAGATGAGAGAGAGTTTACAGAAGTTTCGCGTGGCGATAAATACCTTGTGCTTTAGTAAGTTCCTAGTAAGTCTTGACACAAAGTTAGTCCAGTTAGGCAGTTGGGTCGATGTTACTCCAGAGAATATGCACTTAAATAAGTCCGATGGTCCAGTGAAAAGCACAACGCACACGGAAAAAGATACAGAACGGAAGACTGATCTCTTCGAGGACAGAGCGACGACTGACTCACTTTGTTGTCTGTTTTTCGTGTTGGATTGTTGAAACAGAGATATTAGGTTAAAAGGTGCTGAGAAAGCGTCGTTATTAAGCCTGAGAACTTACCAGATGTTTAGCTCCCAGGTGTAAAAGTTGACAGTTATTAAACGAAAGTTTGTGAAATGATAAAGTGATATAAACACATGGAAAGTCCGAATTCGGATCCTCACAAATTTATTGCTTGTTTTTTTATTATGTTCAAAATATAACAGTTTAAAATCAAATGTCTGAGGTATTTTTTTTTGTTTGGGTTGTATATACAGATTATATAATTTTAAATTACATTTTATTAAAATAAGTAAAGCTTAACTCACAAATTTATATATTTTTTTCTTTACTTAAATATTTAAAAACATATCCTTTCTAATAAAGGATATGTTTTTAAATATTTAAGTAAAGAAAAAAAAAATATAAATTTCTATTTGTTCATATTTACTTTTTAAAAAAATTTTGAAATATACAATTAAAAAAAAATTTTTTTAATAACCTTATCATAAAATTATTGTAAATAAGAAATACAGTAAAATCTGCTTATTGTAATCATGGATATTGTTATTCAATTTTCTAATGCAGTGGTTCCCAATTAGTTTTTCTTGCGCACCACTTCAAGAAAGAGCGCAAACTCGCTCTTTCTTATACCCTTAAACCCTTATAGCAGAAATTCATATTAATCCATACTAATATAAATTCGAAGGTAATTCTGTCTGTCTGTCACCTTTTCATGTCTAAACCGCTGAACAGGTTTTAATAAAATTTGGCATAGAGATAGCTTACATGTTGGAGATGGACATAGGCTACATTTTACTGCGAGAAAATATCTTACTCCCATGAGAAAATTCAATATAATGCAGGCAAAGCTGTAGGTAGACACTAGTGATAAATAGAATATGTTTTTTTTTTTTTTTTTACATTTATTACCTTTAAAATACAATTCTAAAAATAATGAAAATAACATTAGGTTATTTAATTTTAATGTGACAAATGTGCACGATTTTCTTTGTACAACTTTGTAAAATCTGGTTGCTGTTTGGTCAGCTTCAGTCTCAAGTCATCTTCGAGTTGAAGTTGGTGACGATGTTTAGTTTCCATGTTTGTCATGACCGAAAATCCACCCTCACAGAGGTATGTTGTGCAAAATGGTAGAAAATATTTTATTGCCACTTCACCGACATGATGATAATAGAGAGGTTGAGGCGCACGTTTTAAACGTGAAAACGTGTACGTGTGACGTTCGGCGCCGCTTTCCCGTAAGCCTAAAAGTTTGACGATGGTGTTTGGAATGTCGAGCGTGATTCCACCGACTATCCAAACACCATCGTCAAACTTTTAGGCTTACGGGAAAGCGGCGCCGAACGTCACACGTACACGTTTTCACGTTTAAAACGTGCGCCTCAACCTCTCTAATGATAATTGTACAATTTTTGTTTCTTGCATAAGAATTTCATTTAGGTATTGTCACAAATGCATTTTTTTGATGAAATTTTGAGAATATTTTTAGTTATAAATAAACGAATTTGTGCATTTGACATCATTTAAATTGCTGAATTTTTGATGGTCCACCCATTATTTTTTTGATTGCTTCATCTCATGCATTTACATTTTAAATCGCTGCGCATACTCCTTCATGCAATTTTGCATACCCCCAGGGGTACACATACCACTAATTGGGAACCATTGGTCTAATGTTATCAGAATCAGCATGTTCCAAAACAAGTAAGTTAAAATACACTTATAAAAGTGATTATTGAAATCAGTGTTCTAGCTCCATCCTTACTTATGTCATATCTTCATTTCCAGACCAATTAATTTATGATATAGTAATCATTAAATTAAGATGACAGTCTAACTCTTACCTTTAGCTTAAATTATGTATTATCTATATAATTAATTAGCCAAGTTCTAGCTTAATAGTTAATCCAGCTTTATTATTTGACTATTAAAAACAACATTTTTTTGTGTGAAAAAAAAATATAAAGGTAAATTTAACATACCACAGTTGTTATAATTTTTATTCAAATTATTTTCATCACTGTTTTTTATAACACTTACCTATGTTGCTTAATCAATGTACAATCTCCTCCTTCAATTGGGTCAAAATTATAAATATATAAAAATCCATCAGCTGAGGCCACTAACACTCTAGGACATTTCTGGATTCTGAAAAATATAAATCAAAACATTTAATAAATTTATCTGATGTTAGAAATGTTAGATAGATATTAGAAATGACTAATTTATGAAATCTTCAATTTTTATGTTTTAAAATAAAATAAAAAAATTATTAATTGAGTGATAACATAGCTTATGGTCATAGCTTGGTCAATTTACTAAATTATTAGATACTTCAATATTTGCAGGCTAATATTTTAACAGAGACACTAATATAAACTATTAAGTTTGCATACTGAGATAAATATAACATCATATAATATACATAAGCATATAGTATTTATAGAAATTTCAACTGAAACTAAAATGTTACAGAATTAACATATAATTTAACATCTCTATATTTATAATTATTCTTTGAGAATTTAATTTTAAAAATTTTGGAATAATTAACATAACTTGCAAAAATTAAAACTAAAAGTTAACAGAGCTTTATTAACAGAAATATTTTTACATATCAGCCGATCTTTTAACTTAATTTCTTAAACATTTCTCAGGTAACATCTCACAGATCAGAAAACTGCAACTGCATCTCATGGGTCAGCAGGCTTGAAGCCCAAAACTCCACAAGAAAAAACATATGCAGCCCACTGGAAGCCAACAAAGTTCCATTCAGCCTGCATCCAGTAAAGGTTGCTCATTACTGGAATATATTGTTGAGAAATTATTAATGAGAAAGGCTGAAATCTTATTTGTGTAAAATATATTTATCCTGCCTACAACAAATATCCTCACAAATTTTTGAACAATAAATTCAAGCAAGAAGTATCAATCCACATTATGGTTAGTAAATGTAAATAAGGTGATGTTAATTTATATCATGAGCCAGTATGTTTGACTCTTGAGCCATATATGATCAAAACTGAGCTGCAAGCTGTTAAGTCAAGCCCTTCTGTTAAATTTTGTTATGAGCTTAGGCTCACCTCAGTTCAAGCAGACTTGCTTCCAGGATTACATGACACACAAAATGATAGCATTTGTCACACATTTCTAATGGATAACCAGGTAAACATGCAACCAGTATTTCAACAATTTCACTAACAAATTTGTGAAACTTCAAATATGCTAAAACCAATTAAAATTAATGACATCATACTGTTATATGCATTGTTAAAATAAAAACTAATAAATTTATTAAAATATAATTATTTATAATAACTTTTTCATTTATCATTTAATATTTTGTTAATTCAATTTGAAATTTAAAAATTTAATATTTAATATGGTCAAGTGAAACAAAAACACTTACATAGCCAATGCACAGACATTCTTCAGTCCTGAAAAAGGTAAATGAACAGTAGCAAATGCACGTCCTTGACTGAACATTTCTGTAACTTGAGATGGTAAATAACTGGCAGAATTCATTAATGCTCTCCCAAAATAACCAATCCACCCTTGTGGCTCTTCTGTAGGTTTTCTATTAAAACAAATATGATCTTAAATGATACACATTTAAGCTCTAAAAAATGGTATTATTTATAAATTAAAGAAAATTTTCTAATAATTTAACTGTTACTATCATTTTTTGATTTCCTTTATTTTACTAATTTTACTTTAAAAAATTAAAGCCTCTTATCTCAGTTAATTATTAGTTTCTGGATATATAGCTTTGACATAAGCTTTCCATTGATTTTCCAGTATCTCTTAATCCAGACATAGGAATTCCCTTTCATAATTCTGACTACTAAACTTGTACATTAAGTGCACAGATGACATTACATATAATTGTGTAATCAACTATCTAACAATCATTTACTTAATTGTATATAGTGCACTTGTTCATATGCCTTCTATTCTATGCAATTTTTAGCTCATTTTACCATAAATCCTCCAACAAATGCCAGATCTAAAAATGTCAGCTATTTAATTTAAACTGCTAAATAGATGCCAGATTTCCAATAGATGTTGGGTGTTGTTAAATTCCTACACTCAGCTTACGAGTGTTCTACACATGCTGTGGTAATTTTCCTATGGGAAACCCTTGAAAAATGTTTTTACTAAGATATGGGGTACAACTTTAGTATATGGTAAATATGTTAGTGGACACATCTTTCTGTATTTTTTATTTTACACTCTCCATTTTACACAGATCAGTGAACTAGACATCAATTGGAATGGGCCAAGAGACCTTATAGTATTGCCTTCAAACTGAATGCAGTTGTATATGCAAAAGAATATTCCAGAGAAGCAGCAGCACAAAAATTCAAGGTGCATCAAAGTGGATTTGCAAGTGGAAGAGCAAGCATGATGCTCATAATTCTAATTTATCTATCTAATTTATTAAGAACTAGTAGCTCGGGATGCCCCCTAGTGGGCATTCTTTACAAATTTCCATGAGGCACGGTTCCTTTGACTTTTTTGTTCCTATCAATATGCTCTACAGCTCTGTTAAAGTCCAAATGGTAAGATTTACCCTCTGAATGAAGAGGTGGCAACCCCCCAAACCGTAGACCCCTGACTAACAATAAAGTCAAAGGAACCATACCCCTACTCGCGACCCTTCTAGAGATATAAGCCCCTGAAATAATAAATTCCTATTACAAATATACTGAATTATTTATATTGTTATATTGACCAAATAATAATTTATTGGCCAAATAAATAATAAAAATTTATATTGTTAATTTAAATAAGAATTAAAATTGTTAATTTGAATGTTTGAAATATGACACACGATAGGGGCGCCTCTAGTGTCCGTTATCAAATGGTTACCGGACAGACAGATACCCGTTGAATGGGTTATATATATAGATAAGAATGAAGCAAGGAGCAATGAGGCTGGCAGAAGGAGGGTGCAAGAAGATCAGCGAGAAAAGGATCTGTGAGTGGCGAAGAAAAAGTAACCATATCTCCAAATGGATGGTGATGGACAAGAGAAATCATCCCACAGTTAGATTAAAAATGATAAACAAAATATGGTGTTCAGAGCTAGCAGAGAGTGGCTAGAAAAATTCGCAAAACATGGATATGGTAATAACACTACAGTAACTTTATGCTTACAATAGTAATGCTGTTGTGTAGTAATGTGCATTTCTGTTAAATAAAAAGTAAAAGTTCTTTTTAATTACTTTCAGTTTTCATTACTTGGGAGAGAGAATGGATGGGAAAATCCACTGAGGTGGTGGTAGAAAGAAGAATGAACCATATTTCTCTCTTTTTATATCACTAGTTTGGATTTGAAATTCTGCAAGAATGGAATAGATGATGGGTCTCTTATATATACCAGGGACCAGTATATGCTGTCCAACAGATGCCTAGTCATCTATTAGAAGATTTATAGTATTTACATTTAATCCTAGTAACAGCATCTAACAAAATAAAATTGCAACTGCCAGTGATATTAACTGCTAGTTCACATTTAATAAATGATTAATTTAAGATCTTATCAGTTTATAGTGTTTAGACACAAAAGCCAAATAATTAGTAGTTCAGGATGTACTATGGAATTATTATTACATGACCGATCTCTGTTGGTCCATCAAAGCTGCTTTAAACTAAATATTCCTGAAAATTTGTAAGTAATCTGTACTTTCATAGTTTCTTGGATCTACAATCAATTTTTAAATATATTTCAATAACCAAACATTGACTTTAAGATATAACAAAATATAGTCTTTTAAAAACCACATATATATTTTAATACAGTGGGTGATCGGTTAACGAACAGATCGGATAACGAACACTTTCGCGAAAGATTTTTGTGTTCGGACAACAAACACATGATTGGATAACGAACACCGCACAGAACGAACACAAGAAGAAGCGACATAAAATAATGAATACCGATTGGTCTTCGGGCAACAATTCGAAACTTTTCGGAGTGCGGGAGACGTTGACATCGACGCTCAAGCCGGTATATACCGATCGGACAGTATTCCTCCAAACTTTGAAACTCTCCCTTGTAATTCCAGCCTTTTATTTTTCTGACAAAACAATTCTTTTATGTATCCGCGAGACTGTCGGGTAGGCACAAATTAAGTTTTGAGTCTGTTTTTTTTTCTTTTCAAAAGGTGAGAGTATAATAGCAAAGGTAGAAAGTGGGAAGAAGATGCCTAATGTTGCTGGGCAGTATGGCTTGAATAGGTCTACAGTAGGCCGTAGTTCAATCTTATTTAAGAAAAATACTGTATAATCAAGAAGACTCAAGCAGCTAAAGGAGTAACAAAAGTCACATCTGAGAAATAAAGAACATCGAAGAGTTCATAAAGGAACCTGAAACGGATCTGACGACAAAAGAATGTCAAAAACTCTTGAATGAAGAACACCAAGAAACTCGGCGAGATACGTTTTCTTCTGAAAAAGAGGATTAATGCCGATATTTGCTACTAAAGATCTTTTGAAGAAGTGGGAAGATGTCAGAACAATGGTCTTAGAATGGCATCCAAACCAGGTTGAAGCTTGGGGATTTCTACAATTGTAATCCTATTAATTACTTACGAAAAATCACGAAGAAGAGAGAAAAGCAATCGACATTAGACAGATTCTTTAACCCTTTCAAACGGAAAAAACATGACTAATAAAAACGCAAGACTGTGCATGTATGTATTTTTATTATTACGTATAAATAAACGTAGTAAGAAAGTATATATATTTTTTTATTTTTGGCGATCTCCAGAACGAATTAATTAAATTTCCATTAAAACCTATGGTAAATTGATAATCAGTTAACGAACAATTCGGATAGCAAACAAAGTCTTGTTGTTCGTTAACCAATCACCCACTGTATATCCTAAATTCATTTAGCTCATCCAATTTTGTAGTTAACAAAAATAAACAAATTCATTTGTTCATATTTCAAATTCATAATTCAAATTTGAACATTTAAATGCAAGTACTAATATTCTTTTGTTCAAATCCCAACCAAATTCTGAAGAATTTTTTTATATGATTCAAAACAAAAGTATTTGTCAATTTATTTTATTGATGTTTAGTGTCTGATATTACATTATTAAATCTAATTTATCTATCTATTTTTTGTAACTAAATTCTAAATAAATGATAGCATTACATTTTCTACTGTTGGAGTTACAATCAATCTGTCAATTTTTGAATATTTAAAATAATATTTAGAAATAAAAACCATGTATGTTATTTTAAAGTGTTTATTTATTAAACAATATTAAAATCTTAGTTTTAATTGAAAATAGATTTAGGTGGTATTCACTTTTAACCAGTTTGGTTTATTTCATTGACTTTAGTAAGATTATTATTATTATTATTCTTATTAAAATATTTTTGAAATTAATTTTCATTTAAAAAATGTTATCAATGAAAACATTTATCAAATAATATTTAACACTGTTTTTATGAAATTAAGTACATAATGCACAGATGAGAAATAAATTGCATCAAACAATTTGTACTCATTTAATGCACAGTATTGAGCAATTTTAATTTCAATTGTAGTAGTTCCATATTGTTTTTAATTTTAAATTTAAAATAAAAGTAACTACTATAAAATGGCAAATATTAATGTTCCAAGATCAAAGAAAACAACAAGCATATAAATACTTTTAAATGGATTGATAAAAAGTTAACATATTTTAAATGATGATTATAAACTTCAAAAGTTTTAATTTTTTTTATTTATAAAGCTTTTTAAAATATTTGCAAACTTTATAAATTACTTATTATTTATTTATTTATTTATAATATTACTGGCAATGTCGTTAAGGCATTATGATTGCCAACCCCCATACAACAAAGAAACAACAGATCCAGTAAAATGAATAAAAAACACAATAAAACAGAAATAAAAGGAATAAATCATAAAAATAAAAAAACAATTGTATAAAATAAAGCAATTTTTTGCAAACAGCCTTAAATTTAGTAAATTCAATATAAAGTTTATCTGTAAATAATAAACATCTTATAGCCCAATGAGTATATAATGAAATAATCAACAATTGCTTGAAAGATCAGGCTAGAATTTGGCTAATTAAATGATTATTATAAAGCAATTTGACACTACAGGGAGAAGTTAGGTCAAGCAATTTGACACTTGATTAAATTAATAATTATAATTTTAATAATTTATTAAATAAATTTAGAACCTTCTGGAATAAAACAACTGATCCGGGGCAGGACTTGAACCTGCAACCTCCACCTGCCGTGCGGTGCACTCGCCTGTTGTGCCACCTGGACTATTCTAGCCCAATTTTTCAAGCAATCATTGATTATTTCATTATAAAGTTTATCTTCGATTTTTATAGCAGCTTTCTGGTAGGAATAACGGTAACATTAAGACAACAACATGGAGAGTACAAATGTAGTATTTTTAGTATTAACGAAGGGAGTGTGGAGATAAATATATTGGAATAGAAATAGATCATTAAAATATTTAGTATATATCCATCAAAATATTCAGTGCATTTATAGAAATTGGGTAAACCTAGGCAAACAAGTGCAACTACTCAGCAGTCTGTAAATAGAAAGTTAGAAAGTTTGTTAAGTAAAATAGAAACTTTAGACAATTCTGAATAAAGTTTATTTAAGGTAGATGGAGAAGCAGAAGCCCAAATAGGTAGGGCATAGTCTATTAGAGACTGTATGTTGGTGAAAAATAATACTCTAAGAGTGTTTTTAATGGAAATTATTCTAGTTTTTCCAAAGCATTCCCCTACAAATTGAGACCTGTTTAATTAAATTTTTTATATGCAGTTTGAAAGAGAGTTTTGAATCAAATATTATACCTAAATCCTGAACTCTGTCAACTATTTTTAATTTTCAATTATTGATTAAAAAAAAAGCATTGCAAGTTTGTTCTATATAGATCATTATTAATTTTAGACTATATTTTTAATTTATAACTATTATGAATAAGGTTAAAAATTTTTTTAATTATCAATATTTATTTTAATTCTATATATCTTATATTATACATATCTTTAACAAATTACTTACAGTTCTTTAGGATTTTCTAATTTAAATATATGCACAGTTTCTGTATTACTTGAAGCACATAGAAACAAAGAATCTTCACTAAATGAAAGGGAATATATATTGACACATCTAAAGAAAAATAAATTTCTTTAATTATTAAAATATACAAATCTCAATTCATAGAAAATGTACATAAGTATTCATTAATATTCTTTAAGTATTTAATTATCATCTAATATATAATATGTAGCAGATTCAGAAAAATCTACAGTTCAGAAAAAATTTCTTAAATTTTGACTTGTGCAATTTATTCCCGCTTCTTCAAGAAGTTAAATTTAAAATTATTAAATTATATAATTAAAATTTAATATTGAAAATACACGACACCAAAATAAATAACTAGTAATACTGACTGATGATAAAGAATCCTTGGATTAATATTTAATTTTAATTAAAATGTTCAATGTAGCAATAATTTATTGAACTAACAGGTGTCCAGAGAAAATCTGCACAAGTTTGTGTAACAGGTTTTACCATGGGAAAAACTCTATGAACTAAACAGTTATTTGAAAGACAATAAAAAGCTGTACGTTTTCTTTTATTTGTAATTCTACATCTATAATCTGTCTTAAAATTCCTTAATTTGCAAAATTATTGCAAAATGCAGCTGATCAACTGAACTAAATAAAGATGATAGAATGCCAAGTGTTTGAATTTATTACACTACATAGTGTTTAAGAATAAAAAAAAAAAGGTAAATATCTACTCATGGTCCATTGTAAATTCTCTCTCTCATGAAAATTAGGATAATTATAAGACAGATAAGGCTAACTAATCAATGGCATACCTATGTTGTTGTTAGGCATCTCCTTATAGTTAAGAAATTATTTTCTTTGAGGTTAATTTTACTTTTTGTGTATACTTATAATCTTAGTTAAATAAACACAGTTTGTTTTAGCATAAAAGTAGTCATTGAGTGCATTACTTCTGGGGTTCCCCATCTCTCTTATTTTCCTCCTCCATCCACTCAACTATTTCTATATGCAGCCATTTGTGTGTATAGAAATAGTTCTGAAAGAACTAACTGCAGGTGGTGTCAGACCTGACTGTAGGGGGGCACTGCCATCCTGTTCACAGAAGCAGAAAAGCAAATGCAGAAAAAGATTCTAGAATGTTCTACAGTATTCCACATGCTTTCAAATTATAGCACATGCAACATAATAAAAAATTATTGACTGTTAGCTAGAGTCAGATATTTTGTGCAGATTTTTCTGAACATCTATTATAATGTAATGTTTGATTTAAACTAAAAAGTGTTTTAAAATATACTTCTATTTGCATACACTCTATAGCCTATTTATCCTAGAATTGGTCTTTGCAGAAATTTCTGTATACAGTGATACCTCCTACTTTGAATTTAATTCATTCCAGGAGACCATTTGAACTACAAACTGTTCAAACTCCAAAGCAATTTTTTCCATTAAAAATAGTCAAAATATTCACCTTCACATTCAATTACACTTTCCCAATGAGGACAGTTTGAAAATACCATTTTTAGCATTAAGAATTGAGTCACTTTGTCTTTTACAGCTGCAACTGTAAATTGTTTTCCATGACTAAAATTATCCAAAGATAATAAAAAATATGGTAATCAATGGAGATAAATCAGCAGAATAGGAAGGATGAGATAAAAGTTCTCATACCAATTGCATTATTTTGTTTCTTGTAATTTCTACGATGTGTGGGTGAGTATTATCTTGTAAAAACAAAAACACCTCAATGATTCAACAAAGATGGCTGTCTTAAGTTTAATTTATCTTGTACTCTTTTAGCTGCTCACTGTACAAATTTGCTGTGAAGGTTTGACCAACATACGAGTACTCTTGATAAACAATACTCCTTAAAGTCCACCAAATACAAAGGAAGATTTTTTCAGGAGCCATTCAAATCATTTATAAAAATGGTATTTTCAAACTACTCTCTTGTTGAGAAAGTGAAGTCAAATGTGAAAATGTATGTTTTGATGAATAAAATTATTTTAAACAAAAAAATACAAGCATTTTTACTCCCTTTCAAAAACTATTTTTGATTACCTGATATATAAAATAAGTGTACATCTTATCATAATGTATAATATATACACAATGAGTTGAATGAGAAAAATGAAAAAAAAATAATTCATAGCTCAACTTTAGATTTTTCCAATTCTGTTTTAATTATTTTAAAACTTAAACTGCATACACATGCTTTTTCTCTGTACATTTTATCAAGATTTGAAATATTTTAAAGATAACTCTAGATAATAACTAATAACAACATATTAATATAACAAAAAATACAAATTTCTAAGTTTAATGTTTAATATTACATATTAAGTTTTAATTTTGTTAATGCAATCTTTGTTAATGATAAAATTAAATATATTTCAATCACATTAACAAAAATTCTAAAAACTAAAGCTGTTTCCATTTAAACTAATTCTCACATTAGTCTTTTCTGAATTAAAAATAAAACTTACATAATAATTTATTCTTAAACTCCACAAATAAGCAAGCTATGTATATACCAAAGTGTAAATTAATGCATTCACATGTCATATAGCAATCCCACAACACACTTTATGGCATTGCTACATGATTGTTAAATGCATATTTAAATGAAATATGTTATGAATTGTTTCAATTCAATTATGATTAAATTAAAAGCAAAATTGATTAATTTTAGTTAAAAGGAAGAAAAGATTTTAAGAATATTTTTATCAAAAACTTAAACATAAGTACAGATGGAAGACAAACCTTTTCATTCCTCTTCTGAATTCATAAAGCTTTTGCCCATCTGAAGCACCAAATACTCTAATCACAGTACCCTACAACAAATACACTATGATAAATTTGTTTATAAATTTTTACATTTATTTAAACTATTTTATTTAACCTGTTCTAGATTATAAATATAATAGGATATAATAAATATATAAGACGACAAAGTCAAAACAAATTAATACTAATTTTTTCCCACATATGATAATAACTAAGGCATAGTAACTGTGGTCTTTTCTAAGTATTCGCATGAAATTTAATGTACTTCTGCCATCATTTCTGCCAATCTTTGAACAGATGCGGTAAGTAGCCTATGCTTTAAAATTAAATGAAGAGACCCTTTGAGTGTGCTTGAGAGCCCAAGATTAAATTTTCATTTATGGAATTCAAGATCAACAAAAAAACTTATTTTTTATTAATTATTATAGGTTGTATTTTCTGTTTTTACCTATTTTTATACTGTTTTGTTTTTGCAGTCCAAAGTTCTCTCAGCAGTTATAAATATAAATATTTCTTATAAATATAAGTAATATCTTTGTGAATTCTTTTTTACTTTTTCTAAATTATATTGAAAATGGTAATGATTTCCAATTTGCACATTTTAATTTTTTTCAAAATGTTCACTCTCTTCAACAAAATGTGTAATTTCATTCCTGCTTTACTTAATAATTCTGATGATGTTTTAATTACTCACAAAATGTTGGAAACATACTAACACTCATGTTATTGACAATCTTACTCAAATGCATAGTTACTCTGAAATTTCTGTAAGATACAAAAAGAGATGACAAATAAATTCTGTAAGTTGTGAAAATCCAACTACACTATTGTTGAGTTTCTAAGTTGTCATTGTCTATTGTATTTGTTTATGCCCCACATCAAATTAGAAGTACTACATTTCAAATTTTATTTTGTTTTTATAATAATAATGTAGCATGCTGTTCCGTATCTAATCCTTCTGCTATGCTGAAAATATTTGAATATTGTTTATTTGATTATCTTTATTATCCTATTGCTTTTTGGCACCAAACTACTGAGTGACATTTTAACTGATTCAATTTTGTGGCATTAGGCACCAATCTACTTTAACTAATTTACTTATGACTTAATACAAAATCTAAACTAATCATGAAAATAAAATAAAAACCCACATATTAAACAGAAATTGATAACTATTCTTCACAGTGATATATAGCATTTGTTAGCACTACATTTCAACAGGAAAAAAATCCGTCTGAATTTGTTGTGACTTAATCTTGTATACATGGCACATGCACTCACAGTAAACTTCTAACTTTCCTGCTAAATTTATATTAACTTCATTTTTACAAATAGAGCTTTACTTTGACATCAAATCTTCACCAAAATGTTATGTTTCAAATGATATCAATTTTATCATTAATAAATAATTAAACAATGTATAAAATGACAAATTTAATTTTATACAATTAATTTTCATTAAAAAAGCTATTTTCATATATTTATAATTAAATTGTGTACATATGAAAGTTTGTTCGAGTATCGAATGTACAGGTATTTGCTTTTCTAGAAAAAATGAATTTCTATTTTCAAAGATTATATAAATTGAATATTTATATTAAAACTAAACTGGAAACTAAATTAAATTTTAATGTGGTTTCCAGAATTAAGTACAGTGGTACCTCGGTATACGTCTGCTTTAGAATACATCAAATTTGGAATACGTCCTGTTTGGACGAAACAAATTTTGCTCAGTATACGACTTTTGTTTGGTATACAACTTAATTCAATTATACGCGCCATCTATGAACAAGTAGCACTATTGGTGTACTAGACATGACTGTTTGTGGTGCCAGTTTAAAAACTTGTTAAATTTCTTCTGATTTTAATTTGTAAGTAAAATTTTATTATTTTTATTAATCATGAATTGCAAAAAGGCAAATGAAAAGCAACAGAAAACTAAAAAAATGACTAGAATCACAATGGAACTGAAAAAAGAGATTGTTGAGAAATATGAAGGTGGCATGCGTGTTCGAGATTTAACTGTTGCATACCGTATTCCGAGAACGACGATATCGACAATCGTGAAAAATAAAGACATTATTAAATTTGCTAACGTTGCGAAAGGGGTTAAATCAATTTCTAAACAGAGATCGAAGACATTAGATCATGTTGAGAAATTGCTTTTGCTTTGGATAACTGAAAAACAGTGTGCTGGCGACAGCGTATCAGAAGCAATTATTTGCGAGAAAGCTAAAAAGATACATGCTGATCTCATGAAAAATCAAGCAGGAACTAGCCAGGAAAGCAAGGTGTTTAAAGCCAGCCATTTTTTTACATTAGAACAGATTAATCATTTTTACATTATTACTTCTTATGGGAAAGGTTGGTTTGGTATACATCCTATTCAGTGTATGTCCAAACATCAGGAATGGATTAAGGTCGTATACCGAGTTTCCACTGTATTTTCTTTCATCTTTTTAATATGGTGCAAAGTTCAAGTAATATTTTTATTTACATTAATTAAAACTATATAATGTCACCAAATCAATAATTATTAAACTTTTTATTTTATGATTTAAAGTTATATAAATAATAATTATTCAAAATTTACTTATTTGTATTTCTAATATTTTTAAAAGTGGTAAATAAATGATATGATTAATACAGATAAGTAAAATTATAACTGTTTGGTTACAACAATTATAACACAAAACTGGAAAAGCAAAATGAAATTTAAAAATTACTCAATAAATATTCTGCATTATGTAAGATTTAAGTTATTGTATTTATATATATTAAAAAATAAACACAATCAATATATCAATTTAAACATTCCTAATTGAGTAAAACTTTTAAATATTAAAATATAAATTAATTATAAAATTTTCAGCTAAATATATTTATTTTAACAGAAAAACTGTCTATTACACATTTAATACATATACTACATATTTTATAACAAACTACTTATTTTGTTATAATGCAATAGGTCAATATTGATATGTCACTATTATTTTTGTGATTTTTCTCATTTATCAGTTTCCTATTGCAGAAATAATCTTTTCAGTGATCTTTTCATATAAACTATAAAAATTGCAAAAAGAATAGTAACATTTGCCATTAAGTTTTACAATTTGTTTTTAATATTGCTTCTTTTTAATCATCAAAGAATTAATATTCAACCTACAAAATCTATAAATTAATATAATACATTTTAATATTTGATATATATATCATATAACACATTTTCCTTTAAAATATTTTTATTTTAATGCAATTTATTAATTGCAGTTTTATACTAGATGGAATTTTTTGGCGTAACAGTTCTGGGAAAGGACACTAACAGACATTACATGGTACATACTTTAACCTATTCTTTAGTGAAAAATAAATTAATTACCACTTTAAACAATTTTAATTTTTGTTGTTCTAATCTTGGATGTCTTTATTGTAATATATTTTTGACATTTTTGAGACATGAATGACCAAAAAAACTTCAAATTTTTCTGGTATTCAACAGAAAACATTTGCAGAGGCATCTTGATCAATTAGACTTAGAGACCTCACTCAAACAACAACCTACACCAAAAACTCTACATTGAGTGTTTTCAAGCATTTGGTTATAACTAACCTTTCTGCTACAACAGAACATCTAATCTACACAAAAAAAATATTTATTTAGCACATAGATGATAAGGATTTGAAGTATTCCAGGTAATAACACTTGCATGATGATAGGTTCATAGTTTATTGTCCTGTATGTTAAATAAAAAAGTCAAACAAATGTCAAATATGCAGATCAGGAGCCCAGAAATGCATCTAACTATTATTACATATATTTTTATTAGTTAGATTTTCACACTATTTTCACATCTTGTTAAATGAGGATTATCTCTCTCTCTCTCTAATACATTAGAGAAATTTCTAATCTTTTAATAATACACCTAATTAATTTCATATTATCTTACTTTTCTTTCTAACACTTAACTCTAAAATACCTGAGTATCTAATCAAGCTTTAGTTAGTTTTTCTTTCCTTTGTTCTAAAATTATTTTTTTTCATTAAAATCTTCAAAAAAATAAACTCATTAAAATAAATTAATGCTTTTAGAAATAATTTTTAGTTAAAGCTTTCATTCTCTTTGAACAGAACTCTAAATTCTATATTGCTAATTAATATATATATAATTAACATCTTTTTATATAAGATTGTTTATACAAATGATATAAACAATAAGAACCATTAAAATTTTTAAATTTAGTAAATTTTTTATTAGAATTAGAAAACAAGCATTAAATTTTGTCTCCACAGTATTGTCCTTTTCACAGGAACATAATATCAAAGAGCACAATCAATCTTCTTGTGTAGGCTCTTCCTTTAATATAATTTAAAAAATATAATTTTATAACAATGAAAGAACAACCTGTGAAAACTTCAATTTAAATTTAGTGTTTGTTCTGTAAATAAAAAATATTGATATTTAGACTTTTTTAAAGTATAGAATTTATCTATACTTATACTTATAAACATATGAAAAGTCATAATGAAATCCAAAAGAAAACACTGATCTGCTAATTAAAGTGAAAATATATAATAGCTAAATTTTTGAGGACTTCAAATTAGATAAAAATTCAACTTATTGATTTCATGTTCACATATGAAGAAGAGTATCTTAGGACATAAACAACAGTACATGCTGTGAAATACTAATTTATAGAAATTAGTAAAACAATACGAGTAATATAAATTCAATTATTATAAAAAATTAATTATATTTAATAACAAAAATTTCATAAATATGTTTGCCTAAATTGTTTTATTATTGAAAAAATTGTTAGTAAAAAAAGAGAAACAATAATGTTTAAATTTTCAAATAAACTTTTGGCATTCTTAAAAACTTACTTTTTCTGAAGCTGTTGCCAATTTCATACCATTTGGATCAAATGCTAATGCTGCTAATGGATTATCATGAGCAGGAATCATAAGTTTTGTTTGCTATAAATTAGAACAAATAATTATGAATCAAAAATGAAATTTAAAAATCTACTAATAGATTATAAAAAAAATAACTTTCACACAAAATCATGTTTTAGAATCTATCCATAATATCATCAGTTGAAATTAATACATATAATATATTGTTAAAAACATTTTATTACAATATTTGTTCTACACCAAAAAAAATTCCTCCTAGCTTTTAAAAATTAATTATCAATAAACCTTAACCTTGAATCTTCAGCTTTTGTGTCCAGAATGCCATTAATTAAAAATGGAATTCAAAAAGTAAAAATTCACTTAAATATGAAAAATTTAATGTCAGTAAATTAACCTTTTATATATAAAATTATGAAAATATTTCAATATGCTCAAGGAAAGCAGCTTATATTGGCTTAGACTTAGTTTAGATTTTTAAAATGGACTAAGATAAAATAATCTATAAAATCTTTCAATTTATTTTCTTATACAGTATGTGTTATCAGACTGAAATTATGTAGGCCTACTTGAAAAATTTTGTTATTAAAAGTAATGTCAGCATAGATATTTAATTATTTTTTATGATTTGAATTATTCAAATATGCAGTTTACAAAAGCAAAAAATTACACCCATATCAAACTTATTTAGTAATTTATACATTGATTAATAAACGAGAAAAGTTTTTATATATTTAAAAAAATCTTACCAATGTATTTGCATCAAATATCTGTACTTCTCCTATTGTGCTACTTCCTGGATATGCCAAATAACATCTATCAGTATTAATAGATAGGGAACACAAACCACGTGGATTAGGGGGTGTATCACGAATTGTATGTAAAACTTTCATGTCACGAAGATTATGTATATACAGACTTTCCTCCAGACATACTACTAATCGCTATATAAAAAATATTATATATTATATTCCAATACTGATAATTCAAATGTTCATTTAAATTTTAATAACAATACTTTTTAAAAAAAAATAAAAGATGTAAATAAGTCAACAATAATTTGCTAAAGTACTTAATTTCTATTATTTAATTTTTATTTACTTAAATAATTATAAATAATAATATAATATTTTTACAAATACATTAGCCCCTCATTATATTGCACCTCATTATAGCACATATTCGAATATATTGCATTTTTTTTTGGTCCCCAAATTTTAAAAGCACTTGAGTGAATAAATTTTAAATTACCAATAGCCATTGAATTTCTTTTTGCAACAAAATAGGGTATTTTATTCCTAACGTTTTCACTGAAACTAGCACTGCAGGTGAAATAATAAATTCATCAAAATCTAAATAAATAAAACAGGTGGTCAGATCAATCATCATTTGTTTCCTTTTGACATTAAAAGTTGTTTATTTATTGGTTTTAAGTATTGTCTTCTCATTTACAAATTCCTGTGAATTTGAAATTTCACACCTTTATGTGAATTGACACAATATTCTCAATTCACATAAAAGTTTGAAAGTTTTGAACTCAATGCAAAATGTGTAAGAAAAATATTTCTTTATATTTTTGAAAGAAAAGTTCTAAAATTTTTACACAGTAGTAACTTTATTTTGCTTTTTAGAGAATTTTTACTTGTAATTTTATAAGTTTTGATGTTCTATTATATGTTCAATATTTATTTTTTAAATTTTCAATTACTGTATTTATAATTTTTATTGAAAAATATAAATTACACAAATTTTTAATAAGTGATTTATTATGAAATATAGTACTGTATAATAAAATTGCAACTGATATTTTGTTTTTATATGAACAGCATTTGTCTTTAAATGTCACTGCTAAAAAAAAAATAATGCTAAATGGGTGTTTGTGGTATCAATGCTTATGTCATTTAATACAATATAACCATGAATAAAATTCAGTATTGCAAAACTAAGCTTACTTTATATCAAGAACACTTGCTGATTAAGGAATAGAGGATAGAGATTCCATAGCATGTATAATCTGTTTAGTAAAAGCCGAGAATTTTAGTATTATAAAGCACTGCTGGATATATCACACTTCTTTGTCTTAAGCCAAAAGCAAAACACTGTAATCAGAAGCCCCCCTGAACTTTGCAGGTTGTCATATCAAATTAGTTTTGAATAAACTGTGCACTCCGACTTTTTCATAATGTTTTGGAAAAAAGTGTATGAATTATTCAAGTAAATATCGTATTTTCAAATTTAGTAAACAAATTAACTACACTTATCCCTTTTTTTACAGTGGATGTATTTCAAAGAATGCTGCATAATAAAATTGTGTAAAAAGTACAGTATATACATCCTGTAGAAAAATGCTTGGTAGGATCCACAACTTCAATGGAACAAAACAATATGTATTGTAATTTACAAAGAAACAAAAGCTTTTTATTCTAACATTATTTATAATTAATATTTTTTGTAAGTAAATATAGTAAACATAAGGCAGCATAGGAAACAAAATATTCACACAGTATTTTCTGATGTACTGTACATACAGTACTGTGCTTCAAAAAGATAAATGAACTCTTGATTTAAAAACATGTAATTCTAAAAACCAGTATTTAAATAAAAAAGAGTAACCTTTTTAACAATAACACAATTTTAACAAATAGTTATATTTAAAAATTTTCAAATAAACTGTTTTCTTCTTGTATAAACAAAAAAAATCAATTGCATCAGAAAAAGAGAATTAATTTTCTTTTGACAACCATGTTATTTCAAAACTGTATAAAAATAGACTATGTAAAAAGAGAGATAAGTGTATAATTAAATGATAAATACATTTATTGAACAGTTTGATATCATAAAAATATGTTTGGTAGAAAGTACAGATAAAATATATCTCGTGTAAATAGGTAAAAATATAATGTATATAATAAAATATTTACTAAAAACTTACAAGCCGATTTAACTTCACAGCTAAAATTGTGTTGGAATAGCTGTAGTTACATATTTCTGTTCCCTTCTTGAAGTGACAAACTTTAAGTTTTCTTGGAGAAGATAAACTGACAATTGCAACCAAACTGGAAGAAAAATGTCTTTCCACAATGCAGACATCTTTTATTTCCTCTAAACATAAAATTTAAAAATTAAAAGAAAAACAAATCTAAAATAAATTATTAATAATAAAATAATACTCTTATTTAATCTTAACAAAAAAATAAAAATATTAGTAAAATAAAAATTTACTTTCTATTAAAAATTGTTATTTTGTAATTTATTAATTTATAATAGTATGGCAATTATACAAAAATCTATTTAAAACAGATTATTATTATTATTTTGAAAATGCAACCATATTTTAAAAAATACATTTCAACTGTTAATACTTTTTACTTTATAATAAATATACAAAAAATAAGAAAAAATAAAGGAAAATAACATTTATAAAATTATGATAATTAAATAGATAAATAGGAAGTTTTAAGTCAATCCCAAAAAATTTTTTAAATGCAGTTTATCAAAACTGTGCTTCAGTAACCAAGACAGACAGAATATTACCACAAGCATATAACAGTAAGTACACAGAAATGTAACAAGTGACTGAATAAATCAGAAATAAACTAAACAACATTCTAATTTCACTTTTAAAATACAATATCCCTGTATTTTAACTAATTTCCTCAATTAATGTCTATAGGCATAGCCAAAATGCTATTCCATTTTTTGCAGCTATTGCCACATTATTATTTTTTATACCACAAATTTTCCCAGATCTGTTTTAATTTCCTGAACCTTGTTCATGCAATCAGACATTTTCTACACTTAATATTTTCCAAAAGAAATAATTACAATTTAGAATTTTTTATGATGTCTTCTTATAACATAAAAATTCAACTTTAATGTTGCTATCCAATTTGAAATTTTACAGTAGAATTTAATTTGAATTCTACTGTAAAATTCTGAATCAAATAGCAAACACCAAAAGCTCATTTTTTGTGCTGCAAAACCATAAAAAATTCCAAACTATGTACAAAATGACTTTTTAAAAATGTATTAGTTGAAAAATCATTAAATTAATTCATTTTTCACTGGAAATAATATAATAAATATTCATTCAAATTCAAATAAAATCATGTGACAGCAACTAGAAATTATTTTTCTTCATTATATCTCAAGTGAATAATAAATACATAAATATTCATAACAAAAATTATTATGTGCTTCTAGCTTTTTGTCCTATCAATCAACATATTTCTTAAATCACACTATTTGATAAAATCAGGACATAGGGGCTGTCCGTAAATGATGTCCACACTGGAAGGGAGATATGGAGGTTAAGTTAGACAAAAGTCAGACAAGGGGAATTGAGCTTCAATGAATGTCCATTTATTTCATTAAATTTTATACAGTTTATGCATTTTATTATATTTATTTCAAAATTTCTTGTATGTTTCATTTCTACTTATGGTATCTGTCATTCATAAAGTGATAAAAGTTTTAAGAGGGAACAAGATTTGTTAGACATCCGAAGAGGAGAGGGATTACAAAAACTTGGACAAACTGGGACAAGAGAGGGAGAAAGAGTAAAAATGTCAAAAAAATGCAGACATAATTTACGGGCAGCTCCTTATCACACAAAAAAAGTATCTAATAGAATATGGGATATTCAAGTGCATAGAACTGTCATTTTTCAGAATGCATTTTGAGTCTAGGTCCCTCTTCAGCTGCTGACTGGTCCTGAGCAAAGTCAAAAGAAATGTAAAAAATTTTTTATTTAATATTCATTAAAATTTGCAATTTATTACTGTTACCTTTATTTTTTTTAATGGGATATTTTTATGCCAGTCATAATAACCAACAATGATTTCATGGCATTTCTACTATTAAAAGTTTAGTAGTTAACTCCTGCTAGAAGTTAGTTGATTTTGTTGGCTTAAACATTTTCAGAATAGGCACATTTCATTTTTTTAAATTTTATCAGAAAACTGCTTTTTTTTTTAATCAGAAATTACATTTTCAGTATTATACATTACAGAAATTATTTTCATTCAATTCAATATTTCAAAATTCAGTAAAATGTTCATAATTCACTTACCATTAATATAAATCTGATCTAACTGTTCAACATGACCAAGTGAATAAAGCTTATATCCACTTTTAGTACCTACTGCTAATGATCTGCAAATGTAAATAATACAAATATTAATTTGATAAATTTTAATTACTAATATTATAAGTTTACAAATCTGAAATTATTAATATTCTTCATTTTTGTAGCTTATATTAAATATTTCAAAAATTAATTTGTTCTTAAAACTAATTTGTTACTTAAAACACTATGATAATGTTCAATTTAAGCTGAGTACTTTTTGATTATCATTAAAATTAAAACTTTGAGAGATAACTTTCAAATATACAACAGAAATTTTAATAACTGTCTTAATAAAATTTAAAAATATGATGAAACCAATTCGTTTTTTAATTATAAGTTTTATAAAGTACAGTGAAACCTTGCTTAATGAGCACCTCTCACAATGAGTAATTTGCATAATGAGCAAAGCAAATTGTAAAAAAAAATAACTTGCTTAATGAATGACATTTCGCATAACAAGCGATGAGGAGAGGGGAAGTCACAGATTGTGAGCATGCTACATCAGTCTGTGTTTAGCACTCATTCTGCTAGCATCTTAGTGTCACTTATGATCACACATTTTTCCAAACTTGTGTTCAGACATATTAGATATAAATATCAACAACCATAGCCCATTATATAATAAATATGCACGGTTATATGCCATTATATGATAAATATGCCATTATATAATAAATATACCTTTACATAGTCCAAGAATTTGGCATGTTGCCAAATTCTTGGACTATGTACAGGCTATAATTAAATATTAAAAATTACTGTATTTCGATTTTTTTTGTTTTCTGCAAATTGAATTCACATTCCAGGTTGGTTCATTCCATGATAGAAGAAATGATGATGATTTACGCTCCTTAACAATGTATACAACATAATTTTCTTTGAATAAGCATTATACATAAAATATTTGAATACTTTTTTCAGCATGGAATGCATTATCATATTTCATATTAATTTATATGGGAAAAATTGTTTTGCTTTACGAGTAACATTCTGGAATGAATTATGCTCGTTAAGCGAGATTCCATTGTATTAAAATAGTAAAGTTTGTTGTTTCCCCTTTCCTCTTATTCTTGAAAGGAAAAATAAAATTCATAAAGTCACATACAGTAGAGCGTCATTTATCCGAATCAATTGGGGACTGGGGTTGTTCGGATAACTAATTTTTCGGATAACCGATTATGTATGAAAAATATATTAACCTACCCCGTGTTGAAATTTTTCTTCGTTGCGTGTCGTGTTGAATTTTTGTCGATATTAAGCCTAATGAAAACTTTTTAAAATAATAATCGTGGCTATTGTATCATTAAAAATTATTTTTTTTTTATTTTGTACAAACAAAATAAATATATTGAAAAATATAAAAACCAAAAAATATACTTTAGAAGTTGATCTATTATCAAGAACGTTCATTTCAGCACAACACAGTCCTCAGAAAAACACCACACAAAAGTGCCAGTGCTGCCAGCTAAAACACACACACCAAAAAGAAAAATTAGAGTAGCCCAAGATATAGCCAAAGATTGCAGCGCCACAGCACTAGCGAAAATTTAAATTTGCCGACTGGAATGCTTTCGAATAAACGACGCTCTACTGTATATCTAAAAGAAGTACACCCATATAAAAAGTACTATTTACAACTGTATATAGATTTCACTATAAATCTTTCTTGGGCAAGGCTTTTGCTGGTCATACAGAGCTTGTGATAGGCTTTTCCAAAGCTGGACTATCCAAGTTTGAATCCACAACCACTTTCCTTTTCCCTCTTCAAGTGGTACCCAAATGTATGGGATTCAGTTCTTAATTCACTACTGACAAAATGGTATCTCCCCGCCTAACTCTCTCTTAGGTCTATCTTGGTTTTGAATTTCTCCAAACCTCAATGCAATAGGGAATCCTGCCATTTGCCCCAAATAAACTGGATAAGTCAAGCAAACACATTAATCTCTGTTTTCCATGGGATGTTAGGCTTAACCGTTACAAAAATAATATCCAAATGAGCAATTATTTAAATCTTAATTCAAGCCAAATAACCAGAGCAAAAAATGTTTCTTTAGTGCTAACGTTTTCGATGCCCCTTCTGGGCTTTTCTTCAGCAATTATTTATTGTGATGTTGTCACAATGCCAGGATGCAGCTTTTAATAATATTTTTTAAATTGATTTTATTTAAAATATACGCTCCCCATCTCAAATTAGCAGTGTCTTGCCCAAGCATGGCCAACATATGGCCCGCAGGCTGGATCTGGCCCATCGAATGAATTTATGCGGCCCACGATTAATCTTTCAATATTAGCTCAAGTGTCTGAATAGCTCAATGGAAAATTCTGAAGCCTTAAAAAAAAAAATCAACAATTCACTGTGCGTTTAGAGTTAACCCTCCATTATAAATCTCTTAAGTACAGCATAGAATGTTGATAAAGCATAATAATGTGAAAAATGTATCTGTAATCTCTATGTACTGTACAATTTATCTGTACGGGGTGACACCACAATGAGATCTCACACCACCTCAAAATCTTCCTAGGGCAGCCTCTGTTCAACCCGTGAAAAAGTTTTCTTTCCATTTTGGCCTGGGGGCAAAAACTGTTGACCATCCCTGGACTTGCCCCTGTACATCATACTTTCCTGCTATCAATAGAGTTGTGCTAGTCATCAATATACAGGTACCTTGGGTTACTTCGTTTCGAGTTAAGTCATTCTTGATTATATGTTGTTTGTAAAAAAAAAAATAAATAAATAAAAAATATATATATATTTTTTTGGAAATTTGATCTACATTCTGGCTGACATATTCAAGGTCAAAATTTACCATGTAAAGTCTATGGGCTAATTGCTGGTTGATTAAACTTGATTTTTATTCAGCACCTCAAACNGAACATTATTAAATAAATTCAGATTATCAAAAAAAAGTTATTTGTACATTACTGTATTTACTTAAATGTACATTTTTTCAGGTTTTGATATCTCTAAATAAAAAAAATAAACGTCTTCCAACACTAGAGGAATTATAATTCAGCACCTCAAACAATCTTTACAGCTCCAGTGGTATGTGTTTACAAAATGTTTGCTAAGGTGTAAACACATACCACTGGAGCTGTAAAGGTTGTTTGAGGTGCTGAATAAAAATCAAGTTTAATCAACCAGCAATTAGCCCATAGACTTTACATGGTGAATTTTGACCTTGAATATGTCAGCCAGAATGTAGATCAAATTTCCAGATTTGTCACAACATTGGTCTTTGCTGAGTTGTACTGTATATATTTGCAAGTCTAGTGGTCATAGGCTTGCCTTAAACTTCGATCATAGAAAAAAAACACTTTCTGACTTATACATAGCTCTGCTCAATTATATCTTTCATTAACATATGCAAGACAATTGTGTTGTAGATGGTCTGATAAATCATATTTGCCATCATAAATGTTTTTAAAACATTTTGAAGTTCAAAGAAATAAATTTTAATTTTTTTGTGTCAATGAGGAGGGCTTAAATTCCATAGATCTGCTCCTGATTTACAATGCATCCAAAATGATTGCCTTGGCTTAACTGTGCAATGTTTCTATTTACAAACAATAGCACTTCTTTCTGATATTTTGTTAAAAAATCAAAATTAATGACATCATTACAACTTTGGTTTACTTAGTTCACTTTTAAACTGCATAATATATTGTACAGATCAATTTTATTCTAATTAAAATAATATTTGTATGAGTAAATCAAATATTTTTATCTAAAATCTCTGTTTTTTGACTTTGACATTGGATAATTACCCAAATAATAAAAATACTCATTTCAAACAGCTCTAGCAAAAACACTAGCCATCTTTAAGCTTTGTGTCCACTTACATTTTTGAGCTGTTAGACAAGAACTATAACATACTAAAATTTCAGCCAATTTCACTGAAAGCCAAACTCTATAAGGTTTATGTAGGGTCCTTTATTCTATAAATTAACAGAGAAACAAGATGGCTGATCAGTTCTCATTCCAATTTATTTAGCTCAATCTTTTTTTAGATTATTTAAATGAAATTTATCTTAATATTGATAGAATAATTTTAAAAAGATCAGGTCTTATAATGTTATAGGTCAATAGCAATTGTAAACTTCAAGAATCAATTTTGATTTAAAAAGCTAGTTTTGCTGTCAGAGTAATTCATATATAAAATAAGACTCTGTTAGCTCTAACATAATAATCATTTCGGGGGGCATTTCCAACTCTCGGTGCTGCTGATGAACTTTTCTACACACTTCATTTGTGACAATAACTTTAAAATCAACTATTTGATTTAACCATCTTTTTGAATTATTAAAAAAATTAATAGTTAAAAGCATAAATAATAATAAGGAAGTTTAATATTATTGGCAATGCAACGTTCTCCAATTAAGCGGGGAAGACCGCCACTTAACCAAGTCAAATCAGTGAGTAAACGCAATGTTAACTCTGCTACAAGTTCCCGATTAATTACATACTTTAATTTACAATTGGATAAAAACCTTCAAGACACCTACATGGAGACCAGGAACATTAATGAGAAGTCAAATCAACACAATATTCAAGATTTCTCAGGTGAGCCAATTGTATTTGATACTTTACTATATAACCCGGATGATTTATTAGACACTTCATCTACTGTTTTATGGAATAGGATATCCAATCTTATAAAAACATCTATTAACAAACTATTTAATCAAATTGCTGATATTATGGAGGAACTGAATTTAATTCATGAAAATATACATGAAACTAAGGAAAAACAAACAAAAATGGAGGAACATATTACAAATTTACAACAACAAATTCATACTATGCAGATTGAGAAGGAACTCACAGAATTTAGAATGGATTCTCTAGTTAATGATTACAATCGTAATAACATCATAATATATAACTATCCTAATTCGAAGACTGTTTCTAAAGAAGAAATTCATAACTTTATTATTTCTTTATTGAATATTTGTAATATAGTTCAAGATGATATTTTAGATGTGGTTCAACTAACAAAACCATTGAAAATAACCATAAGAATAATCT